AAAGGTCACGCCGTTATAAAGGATAGGCAGTTTTGGCAATTTCTGAACCATATGCGGGCTAAAATATTCACCCAATCATCACACAAGTTGGCACACACATAACCGGGGTACACTGGATGTTACAGGTTGATACCAGTCAAGGTAACCAAGGTCAAATATGTGTTTGTGGTCATAACTCCGCGAAAGATCGAGGTAGAGCGACGGGAGTGGTCTCAAAATCTCAGAAAAATTGTTATATTTATAATTTTATGCATTTGTATTGTAAAATATCCATAGTTTTCCAGATAATCACTAATTATAACAGTTCCTTTCTCTTGAGGGTATGTCGTTAAAATTCTAATTGGAACAAAAATAATTTCCATTTCTTGTTTTTCTGGTGATACACAACACACTGATCTATAGTCACACACCTAGCATATACAGAACTCATGAAAAATTACATTTTTGTTACACGCTGGTAAACACAGACATTCTCATGTGTGACCAATATCACACAAATGTTCATGGGCCTGTACAGATACACACATTACATTGTGGATATAACGATCATGTAATATGGACTGGACTCCTCACAAACTGCTTACGTGGTGATGAACTGACCCCACCAATGACTCATGGGGGACCAGGTTGCTCTCTCTGATTGCTCTTGTTTTATATGATTTGTGTTATCAGACACGTCCGTCAACAATTTTTGGTAAATTTTGCTCACTTTCTTTTTCAGTACACCAGAGTTTTGAAGTAGATCACGAAAATATTTCTCAATATTTGTCAGGTTTCTTCTGACTTCACTTATTTTTGACCAGTACTTTATATTTCTACTTGAGCAACATGATGAAGTAACAGTACTCTTACTTCAGTACATTTGTTTTTCAATCCGCCTCTGGATATAACGCAAACATACATCAAATCTGCATAAACTTATACAACCTTGGCACGTCCTCTCTCTCTTATTGACTGAGCCCACTTCAATTCCTGTCTTACCCCATACGCACAGAGTTGTTTGAGTCCATGTATAGATCCATACTTTGGCCCAGGCCTGCATCCTCGCGTAACCCAGAGACGGTGCACCGAGTCTGGGCCGTTGACCTGCTCCTCTCCCCTCCTCTGTGGAACAAAAACACTGGTGATTAGATTTGGGACAGTTGACACGGGGACAGCAGAGCAGGGGCAAAAGTACCCGGGGGAGAGAGTATTGAATATATGGGCAAATACATGTTTGAAGGCCATGTACTTTTTGAGTATATGCTTCTTTGCTCGTACCGTCTGTTACATTTTAACTCCAATTTTGCGCACAGTTTTAATATTTCTTATTTTATTTGTCAAAAGAGACAGTTTTTTTCAAGAGCCTTTTATATTTTTGATGAACTTACATGTAAAATCTGTAATATACACTACCGGTCAAAAGTTTTAGAACACCCTAATTTTTCCAGTTATTTATTGCAATTGAAGTCCTGCAAGTCCAATGAAGAGCTTGAAATGGTACAAAGGTAAGAACTGAAGATAACAAAACACAAGTCCAAGCTCTGCCAAAACTACCTCAGGAAAAAAGAACAAGACGGTAAACTTTTGAAACTCACAAATGGTTTTCAGCTGCATATTTCCAGCACAGTCACTCCAGTGACAGTTACTAGCCTGAACACTCTTAGAGTTGTCAGTCTGAACTTGTATAAGTCCAAAAAATACAGTACTTCATGTTTTTATGTTCTATAAAACACTTTTCGCGTTGTCCTTTTACAATTTTGCTCAATATTTATTCACGTCCTAGTCATGGTGTTAAGCTTTTACTGTAGCCACGGCCGTCCTGGGGCAGACTGATGAAAGTGTGCCATCAGCCCCTCTGACCACCACTAACACTGACACGCACCGCAGTCTAGGGCTTAGTTTACCGATGTGGGCGAAGGGACTTGCAGAAAGTGGTTTGTTTGCACTCGGAGCACAGCGCTGCCCCCTGTGGCCCGTGATATTAACTGCAGCGTCCCATCCGAGTCGTTCGTCGCGCTCCTGAGGTCAGACGGGCTGAGGCTTTGACGTGAACTTGAGCGTTATTATACATTTGGTAAGGCTTGATTTTCTTTGAACCCAAATTGCTGCTTTAACCGTTCACCTCGTGGCCTAACGTGTTATTTGACTGTCATCCTCTCTTTAAACGCCGTAACTCTCTTCCTCTCTTTTTCTGTTCATCGCTGATTCTATCGCTTCTCTCTTACTACATCTCTCCCTCTGTTCCCTTTTTACTGTTTCCTTACACTCTGCTCTCTTCCTTCTTTTTTTCCTAACCCTAACCCTCTTCTTTCTATTCATCTCTATACTTTCCCCCGCTGCCTTTTCTCTTCCTTTCCTCTTCTGCCTCCTCTTCCCCTTTCTCTCTCCTCTCTCTTTCTTTATTTTCCCTGTTCCCTCCTCTTTGTCCCCTCATTTCCCATCTCTTTCTCCCCTTCTTCCTCCTCTTATATCCTTCCCTCTATCCCCTCTTTCTGTCACCTCTTTTCCCATTCTCTCCCCTTCCTCCTCTCTTCCTCCTCTTTCTCCCCTCCTCTATCCTTTCTCTTTTCCCTTCTCTCTCTCCTTCCTCCTCTCTCTCCCCTCCTATATCCCCTCTTTCCCTGTCTCATCGCCTTTTCCTCTCTTCCTCCTCTTTCTCCTCTCCTCTATCCCCTCCACCCTTCTCTCTTCTTCTTCCTCTCTTTCACCTCCACCCCCTCTCGCCCTTCTCTCTCCCCCTCCTCCATCCCCTCTTCTCCTCTCTCACTCCTTCTTCCGCTCTTCCTCCTCTATCTCCCTTCTCCTCCATCCTTCCCTCTCCCCTGCTTCCTCTCTTCCCCCTCTTTCTCCCTTCTTTCCCCTCTTTCTCCCCTCCTCTATCAACCCTTCCCTTCTCTCTCCCCTTCCTCCACTCTTCCTCCTCTATCTCTCTTCTGTCTCCTCTTTCTGCCCCCTCTCCCGCTTCCTCTTTCTCTATTTTCCCTTCTCCCCCCTCTCTGTCCCCTCTTTACCCACTCTCCCCCTCTTCCTCCCCTCCTCTATCCCCTCTTTCTCTTCTTCTTCTTCTCTTCCTCCTCTTTCTCTCTTTTCCCTTCTCCCCCCTCTCTGCCCCCTCTTTTCCCACTCTCCCCCTTTCTCTCCTCTTCTATCTCCTCTTCCCCTCTCTCACTCCTTCTTCCTCGCTTCCTCCTCTTTCTCCCTTCTGTCCCCTCTTTCCTCCCTTACTCCTCTACCCCCCTTCCCTTCTCTCTCCCTTTTCTCTTCTGTTCCTCCTCTCTCTCCCCTCCTCTACCCCCCTTCACTTCTCTCTCCCATTCCTCTTCTCTTCCTCCTCTCTCTCCCCTCTTCTATCCCCTCTTCCCTTCTCTTGACCCTTCTTCCTCCTCTATCCCCCCTTCCCCCTCTCTCCCCTTCCTCCTGTACCCCCCTTCCCTTCTCTCTCCCTTTCCTCTTCTCTTCCTCCTCTCTCCCCTCGTCTATCCCCTCTTCACTTCTCTCCCCCCCTTTTCCTCTCTTCCTCCTCTATCTCCCTTTTGCCCCCTTTTCTCCTGTCCTCTATTCTCTCTCCCTCCTCTTCCTCCCCCCTCTCCCCTCCTCTTTCTCCCCTTCTCTATCCCCTCTTCACTTCTCTCTCCCCTTCCTCCTCTCTTCCTCCTCTATCTCCCTTCTGTCCCCTCTTTCTCTCCCTTTCCTCCTCTCTTCCTCCTCCTCCCCCCTTCCCTTCTCTCTCTCTCTTTCTTCTTCTCTTCCTCCTCTTTCTCCCCTCCTCCATCCCCTCTTCACTTCTCTCTCCCCTTCCTCCTCTCTTCCTCCTCCTCCCCCCTTCCCTTCTCTATCTCTCTTTCTTCTTCTCTTCCTCCTCTTTCTCCCCTCCTCTATCCCCTCTTCACTTCTCTCTCTCTCTCTCTCTTTCTTCTTCTCTTCCTCCTCTTTCTCCCCTCCTCTATCCCCTCTTCACTTCTCTCTCCCCTTCCTCCTCTCTTCCTCCTCTATCTCCCTTCTGTCCCCTCTTTCTCTCCCTTTCCTCCTCTCTTCCTCCTCCTCCCCCCTTCCCTTCTCTATCTCTCTTTCTTCTTCTCTTCCTCCTCTTTCTCCCCTCCTCCATCCCCTCTTCACTTCTCTCTCCCCTTCCTCCTCTCTTCCTCCTCTATCTCCCTTCTGTCCCCTCTTTCTCTCCCTTTCCTCCTCTCTTCCTCCTCTTCCCCCCTTCCCTTCTCTCTCTCTCTTTCTTCTTCTCTTCCTCCTCTTTCTCCCCTCCTCCATCCCCTCTTCACTTCTCTCTCCCCTTCCTCCTCTCTTCCTCCTCTATCTCCCTTCTGTCCCCTCTTTCTCTCCCTTTCCTCCTCTCTTCCTCCTCCTCCCCCCTTACCTTCCCTTCTCTCTCTCTCTTTCTTCTTCTCTTCCTCCTCCATCCCCTCTTCACTTCTCTCTCCCCTTCCTCCTCTCTTCCTCCTCTATCTCCCTTCTGTCCCCTCTTTCTCTCCCTTTCCTCCTCTCTTCCTCCTCTTCCCCCCTTCCCTTCCCTTCTCTCTCTCTTTCTTCTTCTCTTCCTCCTCTTTCTCCCCTCCTCCATCCCCTCTTCACATCTCTCTCCCCTTCCTCCTCCATCCCCCGTTCCCTTCTCTCTCCCTTTCCTCCCCTCTTCCCCCTCTTTCTCCCCCCTCTCCCTCTCCCTCTCTCTCTATTTTCCCTTCTCCCCCTTCTCTTTCTCTCCTCCCTCCCTCCCTCGCTCCCTCTCTCCCCGTGTCAGCCCCAGACAGTGGTGTTTACTCAGAGCAGGCCTCCACAAGGTGTTTGGGAGCGTGTGTGTACTTGTGCCCCGCCGTTGCCTGTCTATGTCCGGGCATGCCATAATTAGAACGCACTATACCATTTTTTGGGTTCCCATCCCTCTTTCTTTCTTTCTCTCTCTCTCTCTGTGTCTCTCTTTCCTCTCCCTCTCTCTCTCTCTCTCTCTCTCTCCGCACCTTGGTCCCTGTCAGTCGCTGGGTCATGTTCGCTGTTGCCCGGTTGTCGATTTAAAACTACTACTACGACTTCTTTGAGCGATGCAGAGTCCAGCTTTTGGCTCGTGCAATTTCAGACCTTTCTGAGCGGAGAGAAAAAAGCTTTCGAGGATGTACTACGTGAAAAAGAAGGTAAAAATATTATAATTTTTGTCTGAATATTTGCAAAGTTTTAAATAGAAAACTCCGAATTTTAGAAGTTGGGATTGTAAATTTTTTGTCTAGAATTTTTTTGTGTCTTTTAAACATTTTCTTATGAGTTTTTAGATAATTAACACTAAAATTTAAGGTATTGTTGTGAACTAAAACTATTTAATGCAGAATCAGTTTTTAGAATTTCATTTTTTATGGGAGTGATTTGTGTTTTGCTTTTTTATTTTAACACAATTTTCTTTCACGTTTATTTTTTTGTGGATGAATGTTATAATTGAACTTCGTGAACTATATTTGCAGTTTGTTTATTTTCACATCAGTCCAATAAAAAAAAAATCTAAAACAGCTAAATCAGTGCTTTATAAAATTGCATGTTTTGGGTTTTTCTTTTTTTTTTTTTACTTTTTTTTTTTTTTTTTTCAAACTTTGGCTCTTTTAACAGTTGGAGTGTGCTGTGTTTGCGATCCACAGTTCGGGTCCATGCGTGCTGTCACATGTTGGAGCTTGACTAATGTTGTCGTGGAAACAGCAATTTTGGAATTACGCTTTTTGTTAGAAATTCAAAAGGCTTTTACACACAAACTTTCTTTTTTTTGATTTGTATTTTTGGTTTTGTTTTGTTTCTTTTGAGTTAGATTGAGGTTCAGTTGTTAGAATGTTTTATAAACCAAAGGTCTGTGGGTCGAATCCAGCGAACACAATCCACACTCCACACTGCACCCGCCGGGCTTAAAGTTAAAGGTGCATTATGTAACTTTTTATGGAAGGGGGGGAATCTGCCACGTGCTTGTTTCCATGGAGATTATAGCGTTACCTGCAATAATCCACAGAATATTGCACTGGACCTGTCGATCTAAATCTGTGTATCATTCGTTCATTTGTTTTTCAAAATAAAATCAAAAATAAGAAAATGAAAAAACAACAATTTTCTACATTATTTGTCAAAATGAAAAAATTTATAATGTTTTTTTTTTTTCTTTTCAGTTTTCGATTTTGTTTTTAAATGAATAATGGACAAAACGGTTAACGGACTTTTCCTGTTTACATGAGTTAAACTGAGATTCTGGACTGAACCAGGACTAAAACAGGTTTAAACTGGTCTCAGTCCTGGTCTGGTTCCAGTCTCAGTCCTGGTCTCAGTCCCAATCTAGTCCTGATCTGGTCCTGGTCTCAGTCCCGGTCTGGTCCCAGTTTCACTACCGGTCTCAGTCCTGGTCTGGTCCCGGTGTCAGTCATGGTCTGGTCCCGGTCTCAGTCCTGGTCTGGTCCCAGTGTCAGTCCTGGTCTGGTCCCAATCTCAGTCCTGGTCTGGTCCCGGTGTCAGTCATGGTCTGGTCCTGGTCTCAGTCCTGATTACCCGACAGTCTACACAGGCGCACGTCTGGGCCCGTCCCAACACTCCTGGTTCAGTATTGGTTTAGACCTGGTTTAGACCTGGTTTAGTCCTGATTCAGTCCTGGTTTAGTCCTGTTTTAGTCCTAGTTTAGTCCTGGTTCAGTCCATACGCGGCGCAAAAGTCCGGCATCACAGTTTAAGTCACAGAAACGGGAAACGTCTGTTATCCGTTTTTTCCATTCTTCATTTAAACACAAAATTGAAAACTGAAAAAAACAAATCATTATCTGTTTTTTCATTTTGGTTTTGGAGACAAATAATTAAGAAAATTGTTGTTTTTTTCATTTTCTTATTTTTGGTTTTATTTTGAAAAACAAATGAACAAATGATTTGTCTATCTATTTAAATTCAATTAATCAATTACAGACGTTATTGCAAAAAATTCCTTCAAAATCCTGAGTTCTTACTGTGAAGTGTGAACGGGTTTCCACAGAAATGATTGCATTAGTAGATGTATTTTGGTCTAGAGTTGTCACCATGGAGATAAATAACCTTAATACCTGACTGTGGAACTTTCTCAGCAACATCCATGGAGAAAGAAGTTGATGCACCATCCCTCAGAAAGTTGCAGTCTATATTTAAAGGCGCACTGTGTAACTTTTCCGGTGGAGGGTTCGCTACCTGCTTGTCTCCATGCCGATGTTATTGCTTTGTCTGAAATATCCCGGTGTGGCATTAATCGTATTAATCCAGCTTGCATTTACTAAATAACATGGGTTTTTATTGACCTAAAACTTGAAGTCCTTACTGTGAGTGGGCTCTCCTCTCCGCAGATCTGGCCCTGTGGTGTCACCGTAGAGATAAATACGTGTAATGCCATAGTGCAGAGCATTCCAGGCAGTATCTCCATGGAGAAAAGTGAAAAAGAAAAGCTGCGCAGTGCACCTTTAAGTGTAAATACAGTATGTCGTGTGAATGAGTGAGACTGTTGGTGTGAATTGGCAGACTTTCTCTTGTCACTTTGCCCCGGGGCAGTTGTGACCAAAATAGGTTACTCCTCCATTTTTTCATCTTTGTCAACAGTAACTAGATAATCAAGTTACAGCTTATAACTCTACACCCCGACTGGAGTTTGGATTATAATTGCAGTTGGCACGTGTACGGTGGAGGAGTGCACTCATGACCACTAATGGAGATAAATACACCTTCTGTCAAAGTGTTGTGACTCAATTAGCAGAAAATATACTTTAATAATACTTGTATAGCTGCTGATTAGTAGTACTTTCTTTGGCTGCTGTGTCGTTAACGAGGGATGTAACAATAACCGAAATATCGTGATATCGTATCATCAAAGTTCTCACAATAATATCGTGGACCAGTGGACAAGTGTCTTTGTTTAATTTGTTTAAATTAAGAGTTATGGGTTAAAAAAAAAAAAAAAAAAAGACTGAGGGAACTACATAGACCATGATCCTTTGCTCCATTTCAGTGCAGACTACAAGAAGAAATAACAGTTCTAAGCACTTTTAAGTCTTTGGATTAAGTCTTGTCAAGGTATTTTAAGAGGAAAAAGTAGCATATTAACAGTTTTAGTTGTTTAGCCTCCACAAAATATCGCAAAAAATATCATACCGTGAGATCGTGAAAATATCGTACCGAGAGATTTGGAATATTGTTACATTCCTAATCGTGAGTCTCCCCACTTTATCGTGAGCTTTCCCACAATATCGCAATAAATATAAATACCGTGTCAATATCGTATTGTGAGACTTGGATATCTTTAAACTCCTATTGTTAATGTAAAGATCCCATATTACAGTATTTTCTGATCTATGTTCTAATGCAAACATGTCAAACTCTTGGCCCGCGAGATCATATCAAATATGTATTAGAGCTGCCCATCGGCTACTGATAAGCTATAGAGACATTATTTATTTTAAATGTTATTCATGATTTTATATTATGCTTGTTCTGGATTCAATGTTTAAGAAAAAAAATATATATATATTATTAAACATTTATTTTAAAAAGAAAAGGAGAATGTAAATGTTCCGGTCTGGTCCCTGTCTGGTCCTGGTCTGATCCCGTTCTCAGTCCCGGTTTGGCCCTGGTCTGGTCCCGGTCTCAGTCCTGGTCTGGTTCCGGTCTCAGTCCTGGTCTCAATCATGGTCTGGTCCGGGTCTGGTCCGGGTCTGGTCCCGGTCTGGTCCCGGTCTCGGTCCCGGTCTGGTCCCGGTCTCAGTCCTGGTCTGGCCGTGGTATGGTCATGGTCTGGTCCTGTTCTTAGTCACGGTCTGGTCCCAGTCTGGTCCTGGTCTAATCCCATTCTCAGTCCTGGTCTGGCCCTGGTCTGGTTCCGGTCTCAGTCCCGGTCCCGGTTCCGGTCTGGTCCTGGTCTCAGTCCTGGTCTCAGTTCCAGTCTGGTCCTGGTCTGGTCCCGGTCTCAGACCCAGTCTGGTCCCGGTTTCAGTCCTGGTCTGGTTCTAGTCTTAGTCCTGATCTGGTCCTGGTCTGGTCCTGGTCCTTTAAAATAAAATAATGTCCGCTGTGTATTGTTGTTGTGTCCTTTAGCAAGACACTTAATTCACCTCGCTCATAATAATGTTTTTTAAAGCAGACATGTTATGCACAAATGACTTTTTAGAGCTTTTAACCATGGTGTAGTTGTTTTTTTGTTGTATTTGGCGTGATTTGTGCACGTTTGAGCAATCTTTAATCGCTTAATACTGACGATCGACTCACCGTTCCTAATCGGTGATATACGTAGGATTTGGCTTCCTTTGCTGTGATGACGTTTACATCAACTCCTATTGGACACCACACTAGGAAAAAAAAAAAAAAAAAACAACAATATCCAGTTAAGTTAAAATGACTTAAATTAAGAACATTTTACTTCATCTGAGTCGATTCAACTTGAAATGTAAAATGGTCTGCCAATGGAATAAGTGTGTTTTTTTCTTAATTCAAGCAACATCTTATTTTAAGTGCAAAAAGTTGTTCTTTTTCTTCTTTTAAGTGTAGCAACATGTATTTTCATATTTTAAGTACAAAAAGTCAAATTGCCCTGCCAGATTTTACTTGTCAAGTGAAATTTTCTCAAATCATGATTCAAGTCATTTTAGCTTGGCTTTAGTTTGTCGGGGTGCAGTTTGGAAGTCAGCAGAGTCGTTTCTTTTATTAAGTCATTTTAGATCAATATTTTGGTTTAAAATGTCCAAATTATCATTTAACAATCCTCGTTTAGTCCTGGTTTAGACCTGGTTTAGTCAAGTTTTATACATAGTTCAATCCTGGTTCAGTCCTAATTTCAGTCCTGGTTTAGTCCTCCTTGTTCAATCCTGGTTTAGACCTGGTTTAGTTTTGGTTCAGTCCTGGTTCAGTCCTGGTTTAGTCTTGGTTCAGTCCTGGTTTAGTCCTGGTTCAGTCCTGGTTCAGTCCTTGTTCAGTCCTGGTTCAATCCTTGTTCAGTCCTGGTTTAGTCCTGGTTTACACATATGTATAAATATGTGCCTTTGTGATATTATTATTTAAAATTGTGGAAAAAATAAAACTGAAATGAAAAAAAAAAAGTCTAGTAACATCTCCTACTTTTGCAGGGACATTTAATGCAATACTGCGGAACTTTCCAGCCCATCTTTATTCACGTATATGTATTTTATAGTGTATTATTTAACACAAAACTCCAAAACGAAACCGCACAGTATAATAAAGAATTTCATGTGTCGTAAATGACTGGGAGCTATGCATACCTGTCTGTCTGTGGCTTCTGTCTTTGCCTCATGCGTGGTTGACTCCTGACAGGTGCGACAGGAGTCATTACCCTCACCTGCCCTCACCTGAGTAGACCCAACAGCCCCCTTCGCCGCCCCCTCCTCCAAAACAGACAGGCGAGGAGGGGGCAGGAGAGGGCAATTAGCCAAAGAAGTATTAGGTCCCATGTTTTACAACTTGTATTGCCCCGAGGAGCTGCCGGTGTGAGGCGTGTTGTCAGAGCGGTGATTAAAGTTGAGGATAAGCGAGGTCCCGGGTCAGTTTTGTCCCGGTTTAGTCCAGCATCAGTCCGTGTATCATTCGTTCATTCGGTTTTCAAGATAAAACCAAAAATAAGAAACAAAAAAAAAAACAACGATTTTCTTCATTATTTGTCTCCAAAACCAAAATGGAAAAAAAAAAAAAAAAAACACATAATGATTAGTTTTTTCGGTTTTCGTGACTTAAACTGTGATGCTGGACTGAACCAGGATTGAACCAGGACTAAACCAGGTCTAAACCAGGACTGAATCAGGACTAAACCAGGACTGAACCAGGACTAAACCAGATCTAAACCAGGATTGAATCAGGTCTAAACCAGGACTGAACCAGGACTGAACCAGGACTACACCAGGTCTAAACCAGGACTGAACCAGGACTAAACCAGGACTGAACCAGAACTGAACCAGGACTGAAACAGGACTAAAACAGGACTGAAACAGGACTGAACCAGGACTGAACTAGGACTGAACCAAGATGTCTCAGGACAGGACTGGAGGTGTGCCCGCGTAGACTGTTGGGTGATCAGAACTGAAACTTGGACCAGGCCAGGACTGTGGCCAGGACTGAGATCAGGACCTAGTCCAGTTTAGTCTTGGTTTAGTCCTGGTTCAGTCCTGTTTTAGTCCTGTTTTAGTCCTGGTTCAGTCCTGGTCAGTCCGGCATCACAGGAAACGGGAAATAGCTGTTATCTGTGTTTTCCATTATTGATTTAAACACAAAATCAAAAAGTGAAAAAACAAGTCATTGTCTGTTTTTTGTTTTTCATTTTAGTTTTGGAAATAATGAAGAAAACAAATACAAGATACATGATTTACATTTATCAAATGTGCTTTGTGTAACTTTTACAGTGGAGGGTCCGTCAAATGCTTTTCTCCATGGAGATGTTATTGCTTTGTCTGGAATATTTCACAGTATGGCATAAAACATTTCTATCTTCCTGGAGACCAAACCAGACCAAGTTAGAGGTCAGATCTGTGGAGAAGCAACTCAGAATGCCTGTTTTTCTTGGCATTTTTGATCTATAAAAAAAACTGTAATCGAATAAATGTAAGATAGAGCTGTTTAATGTCATACTGTGGAACATTTCAGGCAGAACAATGCCATATCTATAGAAACAAGCACATTTAATTGATATTTATCATTGCTATTTATTAGTAAAGGTATTTTAAAATTCCTTAAAAAACTTTTGATCTGACCTGTAAGTTGGCCTTGTGACACCATGGATATGCTTGTTTCCATGGATATAGAAGGTTAATGCAATACTGTGGGACATTCCAGGCTAAGCAATCACATCTCCAGGACGATAAGCAAGTGGCTGACCTTCCACCACAAATGTTTTAGGCAGGGGGTCTTGAGGTTCTCACCTAGGAAATTGTCAACAAAACAAATGACATTTCTTTTTTGACATTTAAGCAATTTTAGCAAACTTCAGAGGCCAGAGCGGAGTTTTGCTGTTACACTTATACTAACAACAAGCATACTAACAGTGCATTTCCTGATTATCTCACAATAAAAACACTTTAGAATTAGATGTAGACAATTTGAACTCAAGAGATGCTTATACAGTATATCTATGAGACTCATTTTACTCAAATACATGCAAACAATTGGGTAGAGTCCCTTAAGCCAATGTAATATGTATTTAGACTTAACCTTTGTCAAACTTTATTTCCAAATAGTTTTGACACAGTAGCTCACACATCACAATATATTATAATAACAAAGAGAAAAATATATAAATGGTAATAATAAATTCTTAATAAGTAGCAGAAATAGCAAGAGACTGGTATGAAATAAGATATAATTATATAAATGTACATGTTAGCCAGACTGGAGCCACCTAGTGTCTCCACTCAATTTCATTTCTCTCCAGCGACTAGGTCAGGAATTGGAATACACCAGATCAGGGGTGTCAAACTCATTTTGGTCTGGGAGCCGTATCCAACCTACTTTGATCCTAAAGGGGCCGGATCAGAAAACTCATGGCATATATACCTTAAAAATAACAATAAGTTCAAATATTTTAGCAGGGAAACGCAAATCTATTACAGAAATCTTTTTTAATTGATGAACTCTTTGTTTTGCAAAATATTATAATATTATGAACAACCTGAAACTTTAAGAAAAATACAATTTCAACACAATATTTTAACATGAACTTGTATGTAAACAGGAATAAGTTAATTTTTCTTGGAAAATCCTGCACTCGGCTCCACTTTTTTCATTTGTGACATTTTGCTGATGAGGGTGTCACGGTCAACAGTCAAAACGATCGTCCTTTAAGAGCGTTTGGAAAGAGACAAGTCTTCATTTGTGCTGCTCTGGTGGGAGGGGCCACGCACAGAGACGCTGGAGACACTGATATGATAAGCACCACAGAAAATTAACAATATTTTAATAAAAAATATAATTAAAATATTTTAGTAGAAAATCAGCCGAGGGCCAGATTAAAGGTCTTGGAGGGCCGGATCTGGCCCCCGGGCCGTATGTTTGACACCTGTGCACTAGATGGTTTGCAAGAACCCCGGAAGTTGTAGACCAATCAGAGAAGAGCTGTGAAGCCATGACGTCAAATTCAAGCGCCTGTCTGGGTCCTTTTTATGGTACAGCACAACAGTAAACAAAGCGGTCGAGATGGATGTAGACGTAGACAGACATTCTATGTTGACAACGATTCCCGAGATCGAGGATTTAAAGCCAGAACAAGGAAAATGTTTGGTGAATTTTATCAAGGGGAAAGACGTTGTTGTCCTTCTTCCTATAGGATTGGCGGATTACCGACGTCAAGACCAAACAGCAGAGATTGGTTAAATAAAAAAAGTACCTGCCTACCGTCGAGCGAACGAATCCTAACGCTGCGAGGTCAGACAGTTTCCATGAAGTGAAACCTGCTGATGAATCAGGCTAAGATTTTACAGTCCCAATATGAACAGTGATACTCTGTTTACCAGTACAATATGATACTGAAATGTAATTACAAAGCGTTTTCTTGTTCGATGATCAGGAAGTGCGCATTAGCATGCCAGTCATTGTCACAGCAAGTAGTTTAAAAGGTGCAATGTGTTACTTTTCTGCTGGATCTTCTGTTGCCTTCTCGTGTTCATGGAGATGCTGTTGCTTTGTACTGAATGCTCCACAATACTGCATTAAATATATTTATCTCCATGGAAACCACCAAGCCGAGTTACATGTCAGATCTGTGGAGAGGGCGACCCTGCTCATAAAAACACCTGTAAGTGAATAAATGCAAGATTTAAAAAAAAAGTTGGAAAGTTTGTGACAAAGCAATGAAATCTCCATGGAAAAAATCTGAAGAAAAGTTACACAATGCACCTTTAAAATGAACTAGTTCTGCTTTTCACACTTTTTAAGACTGTAAAAATCAGGTACAGAGTCTTTAAGTGCTGCAGCCCAAACAGTCACTATAATTTCTCTGCTGCTTTTGTCATAGATGTTGCGTTCACCAATTTTGTCTCCACCATTTCACCACAAACCTATCCTTAACTGCTCCAGAGCGCCTCACCTCTTTTTGTAATCCGACCTGCCTTAAAATCCCTCTCAAAGCCCCTATCTTTACCTGTATCCTCCCTCTCTCTCCTGCTTTCCCTCCCTCCTTCCCTCTCTCCTCTCATCCCCTCTCCCTCTCTCTCTCTCTGCAGTCCCAGTACAACCTCCTGAGTAGCAGCATGGAGAGCCTGGGGAGCCGTGGTGCCCCTGCCAGCCCGTACGGTTCGGAGCAGGCGTCCTCGTCGGCGGTGCCCACCCCCTCGCCGTACTCCCAGCCCAACTCCACCTTCGAGGGCCTGTCCCCGGCTCCGGCCATCCCGTCCAACACCGACTACCCGGGGCCCCACGCCTTCCACGTGTCCTTCCAGCAGTCCAGCACGGCCAAGTCTGCTACGTGGACGGTAAGGGGCTTGTTTTGGTTTGGTTTTCTGTTTACAAATATCAGAGTTGGTTTCTAGCAGCGCAGTTTTACTTCTACCTGCGTAATATTTTTTATGACAGCACTCTTACTGGAGCAAAGGTTTTTGTAACTCTTCCCACTGTGAGTAAGACTACAAATGTCAAAAGCTTTATGTTGATAATATGAAATGATTTGAATTTTGCATCAGTTCTTCAGATATGATTTAGTTGGTCTAATTTTTGTGTCTTATGTATATTTTGAAATGACCAGATTTTGTGTTTTATTTAATGTTCATTCAAATGTCATAATACTGACCAATCTATGTCCCCATTTAAATGCTGAACATATTCACATGAAATATAGCTCTTACTGATGACAACTGTAAAGCTGATTTATTTTTAACTACAAAAACATTGGACATGATTTTCCATTTATTTATGTTATAATTTGGTGTTCTGTTCACAAGGTGATTATCCAATCAGAAAGCAGAATGAGACTCACATGAGTCTCTCATTTGAGTTGCCAGTTTCAGTGCTGAAATCCAGTTGGTTTAAAAGGATTTCCTCTGATTGTTCCTGCCTAAACCCCAGCACCTGCAGCCAGTCATGAAGCAGTGCTAGTGCAGCCTCTGCAGCAGCAGGATATGCTGTCCGTGCACTGAGAATGAGACAAACTTGTGTGTGTACTCTATCTTAGGACAATCCACATTGATTGTAGCACCTTTTTTAAAACAGTAAGAGTGCAGGTTACATACATTCTCGGGACAGGCCCCATGTCTCATGTGAAAACTCAGAAACTCCAGAATTCCCTCACTGAGCTGCAGAGGCTTCACTAGCCCTGGTTCATGATGGCTGCAGGTGCTGGGGTTTATGCAGTGAGTCACTAGTGACCACTCAGGTCAGAGAGGCACAAGTGACTGGATTTCAACACTGAGTTTGGCAACCCAACTGAGAAACTCACATGAGGCTCATTCTAACATAAACAACATAAACAGTTTGTTCATCAAGTTCAATGTTTTGGGATTAAGGTTAAATCAGCATTCAGCCTGGTTACTTGGTTACTGGACATGAGCAGGCGTTCTGGCTACTGTACATGCAGGATTACTCCAAAATATAAGAATGAAACAAAAATCAAGGTATATTATTTAATGAGGGAATTCTGTTAATTCTGTAATTTACAAAAATGGTCAGGTTGGCATAACATGGCCCTTTTATTCATGGGTTTCAAGCAGTGGTCCAAAGGATGCCATAACAATTAAGAAATATTATTATTATTATTATTTTTTTATTTTTTTTTTATATATGAAGAGTATGAAGAGTATGAAATCAAGTTTCTTGGTCTGAAACCAATGGAAATTATTGTACAACATGTAAAAATGCTCTGATAACAATATTGCAGTTTTTCAACATCAAGTATATTGTAAGTTGAGTTAAATTAAAGATGCACTACGTAACTTTTCTGATAGAGGGTCAGTCACTGCTTGTCTCCATGGAGATGTTATTGCTTTGCTTGTAATGTTCCACAGTATGGCATTAAACAGATCTTGCATTTAATCTATTACTGGTGACATTAAAATCTGTTGAAAAATACAAATTCCTTCTGTAAACAAGTTCGCGTCTCCACAGATCTTGACCTGACATCACCTGTGTGTCTTCATGCTGACAGATAACTGTGATCTCATACTGTAGAACATTACAGGCAAAGCAAGAAATAACTGCCACAGAGAAAAGCAGATTACAGACCGTCCACCAGAAAAGTTGCAGAGTTCATCTTTAAGATGAAAATCAACTGTCATGATTAACCATTTTAAAACTTCTTAAAATGAAAGGAACTGTTTGTAAGATTTAGATTTGAAATTTGATAAACATGGCCTAACTGTGTCCCCAGATTTAAGACAGGGTTCCCACTCTTTTTCACTGACAAAATTTCAAAAAATTTTTCCATGACTTTTTCATGACGTAATGTGAATTTTCCACAACTTAATAGTAGAATTGTAGAACTGATCAGGCTTTTAGGGCTAAATATGAAATGTTAACCCTTTCCACTCACCTTATCACCTTAGTATTATAATTTTTTAACATTCAAAATACTGCCAGTTCATTTATTGTCATCTCTTTTAAACAAAAGGTGCAGACATTCAGAAATAATCATAATAACCTAATGATAATTTAACAAAACGCTGTAGTTGTGTGAAAGAGATGCTAAAATTCCATGACTTTCCCAGGCCTGGAAAATTACATTTTCAATTTCCATGACTTTTCCAGGATTTCCATGACTGTGGGAACCCTGTTAAGATAAACATGTTCAAACCAAATAGCTTTTACTGATTTATTGACTATTCTTAATCACAAAAACATTGCACATGATGTACCATTTATTTGGTGTTTTGACTCTAAACACAAATCAGAAAGCAGAATGAGCCTCACATGAGTTTCTCATTTGGGTTTCAGTGCTGAAATCTAGTCAGTTTAAACCTCAAGTGCCTCTCTTTGACATGAATTGTCACTACCTTAACCCCAGAACCTGCAACCATCATGAGTCGATGCTAGTGCAGCCTTTGCACCTCAGGGAGGGAATTCTATGGAGTAAGAAAGCTTTCAGAAATATTCGTGTGCATAGGATAGAAATCCATGCATATTTGGGAAATCCTTGCATATTTGGCTGTTGTTGAGTATAAAGTAAATATTCGTAAACTCGTTTAGTCCTGTTTTAGTCCAGTTTTAGTCCTGGTTCAGTCCTGGTTCAGTCTGTATCCAGCGCAAAAGTCCAGCATCTCGATCAATGTTTCTTCTGCTCAATAAATAATGCCTGTGAAGTGATGATGTATTTTTGACAGTAAAGTCACGTCTGTGAATTCGTATTTGTACTGAAAAAAGTGTAATCGTAAATTTTCATTTCGTGATCGTCGCAACCTTTCAATTCGTATTCTGATGGATAAAATACACGCAATACATACTTTATGTACGACTGGACTAAACTGAGAGTTTATGAATATTTATTTTATGCTCAACTACAGACAAATATGACCGGATTTCTATCCTATGCACATGAATATTTCTGAAAGCTTTCTTACTCCATAGAATTCTGGAGGTTGTGAGCTTTTACATGAGGCATGGCCTGTCCATAAACTGACAATGAGAAAAACTCAACCTGCAGATAGAGGGAACATTTAAGACACTGGCAAGTTTTTTTTTTTTTTTTTTTTTTTGGCTTTAAAGATGCACCTAACTTTTCTGACGGATGGATTCACTAAGATGTTTGCCTGAAATGTTCCTGTTTAAGAACCAAAAACTAAATTACCATGTACATTTTAATGAAAAAACAAAACAAAGCAACAAAATAAAACTGTAAATATCCCTCAAAAATAACAAACCTAAACATTTCACCCAATATAGCAGTCCTGTAGCTTTATCCATTTCACCATTCAGATAATTTTGACACATATTGGCCCTACCCCAACCGTCTCCGAGGATGTTGTGCTTCTTTCGAGTAACTGTCCCGCACGTGATTGGACATGCCCGGTTTTCACACACGTTCAAACTCACGGCGCACAGGTCGGCACAAGCGCAGACCTGCCCCAGACCGGAGAAAGTAGAGCATCCTCTCATTCCCTCACTCCCTCCCTCACTCCCGCCTCGTCTTGTCATCACTTTTGTAAAGATGCGTCAGGACTCGGCCACCGACAATCAAAACAAAATCAGAACGTGCACCTGTGATGTCTAAGTGCGCGGGGTTTATCCGGGATCAGAAATAACGGTTTGTAATTAGATGTATTGAAAATGGAATTAATGACTTGGGAGGAGAGATACTGCAGGTGAAGACTCATGTAACTTAAAGAGCAACTGTCAGGAAGGGACATCTGTTTTTTTAATTTACAGTTGATGTAAGTGGGAGGATGAATCCGTGTATCATTTTTTTCATTTGTTTTTCTAAATAAAACCAAAAATAAGAAAATGAAAAAAACAACGATTTTCTTCATCATTTGTCTCTAAAACCAAAATGAAAAAAAAAAAAAAAAAAAAAACGGAAAACGATTTGTTTTTTCAGTTTTCGATTTTGTGTTTCCCATTTCTGTGACTTAAACTGCAATGCTGGACTAAATCAGGACTAAACCAGGTCTAAACCAGGTCTAAACTAGGACTGAGTGTCGGGATGGGCCCGGAGGTGTGCCCACATAGAGTCTAGGGCAGGGATGGGCAAACTACGGCCCGGGGGCCATATGCAAACTTGAATAAATAATAATAATAAACCTTGTTAATGTTTTATTTTTCCTGCATTTCCGGCGTTTCCCAGTAGACGGCGCACTATACATACATTGAGGTGCGGCGGCTTCTGTTGGCCGCAATGCTTTATGGGAAAGTCATTTTCACGCGGTTGTATTCGGACCATGAATGAGGTAGAAGTGTTCAAGACATAAGACTGCACTGATTCTGGCCTAAGTGTGTACAAATAAATTCCAGTACTACTCTATATCATCTTATGGAAGACGAAATATTGAGTAAAAGCACTACAATTGTTCCGTGTGATTGTGTATCATGTATAGTACATGTTAATTTCTTGATGTGTGATATAGTCAGAAATATGTGAGCCCCTGTGATATATGCTAATGGAAGGGCCGTACGAGACAGCGCGAAACCCCCAAGGTTCCAAAATGGCCGCCCGTTCAAATTGATGTGCAGAGCTCAATGGCGCATGATCCCAGATTAGCCTAGCAATGCTAGGTGCTTCCGGTGGCTGTTGGCCGACCGAGCATGCGCAGTAGTGCTCTTTTCTCCCACGGGCACACGCGAATGCACGCGACCACACGCACGGAGCGCGGGCTCGTGTATCACGTGATCGTTTTGACCAATCAGAGCGAGAAGAGCTAGAGCGGAGCAGGAGCTAACGAATATAAAGTGTTTTTTTTAAGACAACTGAAGGATTTTGAGCGAGAAAAAGTTTATGATCTAAAAATAGGTAAAAATCACCAACAGATCCGATATTTTTGAAAGCTGTAGATGA